CCCCCCCCCCCCCCCCCCCGATTAGGGTGGCTGAAAACAGAATTGGTCTGTGTGAATAATTTTCTGGGGAATAAGGAAGGATCAGCATAGTTTCTTTTAATCTATTTGTTTTAAAAAAAGCCAGATCTGTACTGCTTAGCCAACAGTTCAATACACCAACTTTCTCTATAGCTGAAATCAGTTTTGCAAAGTAGCTGCAATAATTAGGTCACATTGTCCTTGTTCAGTCCCCAGAGATTTAGTTTGTACTCTGCTTTAGGTTAAAAGTTAATTCATTTTGGTGGCAGATTGATTGTCAGGCAAAATAATAGTAGGGCAATTCCCTGAATGATTTGTGATGAGTTCCTTGTGTAGCTTATTATTCCTACTAATGCAGAAGGAACAGAATTACTGTGTTGTGGAACGTGCGCAGTTTATGATGTAGTTTAGCAGCTGCAGTCAGTAACTTTATGATGATTAGATTGAATTGAGTGTGACCATGTAGCTTATCTGTGGCTCTTACATTTAATGTAATGTTTTGGCTTATTCTTTATCTTGTATTATACTTGTTACCACAATGAAATCCAAATATTTTAGTCTTGAATGTACCATGACTTTTCTTATCATTCAGATAACCCCCTACACCTCATGTTTCTTGTGTAGGTATAAAAAAAGAGCTGGTAATAAGAATGGTTACTACCCTGTATTTTGAAACAATATCTGATGGGTTTATATAATGTATGTCTCTCTTTTTAATAGGAGCAACCTCAAAAGAGTAAAACACCTGTAATTTACAATAACAATTGTCCAGGTTAGTACTTTTTCTGGGACAGAGGGAAAAACATTGTACCTTAGGAATCACTGGAAAGTATGGTCTAGTCTCATACTTTGAATCAGACCAGAGAGCCTCCCACCACCTTTTTTAGTTCTTTCTTATGAAAGGGCTTGTTGGAGGGTGAAGTCCAGCTGTGTTCACAGCTTCTTCATCTCAGTATTGGTGGTGGTTATTGTGTTATGAATTAGTGAAATTGTCGAGCTACCAGTCGTGGTAACTGTTGCCATCAACCCTGCTGGTACATGGACCAGATAAATAAATTTTCTTTATTAAATAAGTTAAATTATTAATTTTAATATCTCCATGAATCAGATCTTTTTCAGTCAGATTTTGTGTCCTGTGAGACTGCCAATTCTGTCATGATTTTTGCTAATCAGCTAACATTTCTAAACCTGACAAAGCATCGTTGCAGAAACAGATTTTTTTTTTTAAGACAAGGTCTTGAAACCAATTAAAATACTTTCTTTGTACCTTTTAAAAAGTACCCCGTTGTACCTAGCTATTGAATACTGATAGTAGACGCATTCATTTTAGAATTAATAATCTTGCACTCTGGGTTTGGTTTATTGCTATTTTTTTTTTTTCCAGTTCTTGCAGTAAGCAGCCGCTTAGTATCAGAACAACTTTGAATTCAGGATCCAAATTACTAGTTGTGAATTTATCTCAAAAGAGATATGTATAGATAGATATCTTCTTGAGTTTTTTTTATATTTTCTGTTAAGAGTAGAAGTCCTGAAGCTCTGTTCCAAGTCTTCCAATAACTTGATCTGCACTTGCTGTCATGTTTTGGGTTCCCCAGCTGACAAGCAGAGATGAGCATTCCTGGGTAGCACAGCAGGCACGTCTTTCAACATTAGTTGTATGATGTTGTGGGACTTTCTGATAAAAAGGCGTCCTCTGGCATAGTTCTTGTTATGCTTATTAATGAAACTGGTGTTCAAACAGTATTAATTACATTATCAAAACACCACTTCCCAGTCATTCCAACCTTCCTATGCTTTTTCCTTATTATTTTGTAGCTTTTTCTTAGCCACACTCTACTTAATTGCTGAAAGACCCAGATTCTCTAGTTTTGACTCTCCAGTAGCTGGCTGTCGTGTCCTCACGATGACTTGGTTTTTTTGCAACTTGGTTTCTGTCCTTGTAAAGTGGGGATGACACAACTGTTGCAGAGGGACACTACCTCATTAATGACTGAAATAACCTCCTTTTCAGGGGGTTGATACAGATGTGAAGTGTCTTTCCCAAGTGGGCCAAACTGAGATAAACAGGTCTGAGTACTTATGTGTAATAGAGCACTGCACATTGTTTGACGGGGTTTTTTTTCTTCATTTTTCTGTATCTGAACTGTAGAATATAACCAGTTGTTTAAGTTGAACATCAACCGAAATCACAGAGGTTTCCGACGAGCAATTCGGTCCAAAGGAATTAAATTCGAAGTATTTCATAAAGGGTAAGTCCACACTTTGCTCCCCCCTCATTGCTTCTCTAGTAGCAGGTGAAAAGTGTTGTAGCTGAAATTTATGAAGCACAATCTTTAAGCTAGCAATAAAGAGTTGTCTAGTTCTCATGTCTGAGAACTCCTTTCAATATCTGCCTGAGCTCTGTATCTTCCACTGTGGGGGTAAAAAAAGGCCGAAGTTCAGTGAAGTTGATTCATAACTGGCAGATCAGTTGAGGATTAGTGCATTAAGAGGAATTGATGAGCCTGAGAAGGTAATGATTCAGCTTCAAATTCTTCTGATTCTTAGCCAATTTGATTTTAGTCATCAGGACTAGAAGATTTAAATGTTACATGGGATAACTTTGTAGAATAATAAAATGGCAGCAAAACATTAACAGCAGTAAAGCAGATGACATGATGGCAGAACTAGTGTTGCTTTTGTACTTCTCTTCATTCTGAGGATCTTACAATATTTACCGAACACTGCCAGCAAACTGTTAGACTATCTTGAGAGAGACGGATTTCCCTCATCTTGGAGATCAAGACGATGAGGTGGATGTTACCGATTGGTAACGTTCAGGGAAATCATCCTACGTCTAGGCTCATTAATGATTTATTCGAGATTGAAGTGGCCTACGTTCACTAATCCGCAAGTTGGTTGTGATCCATGACTTGTTTGGGATGTTTGAAAACCTGGTTTTGTCTCAGTGGCTCTTTGTGCTATTCTTTGTTTCTATTACTGGGACACATAGAAATGACCTATGGGTTCTTCAAGATGGTTTTCAAATTGTAGATGTCATAATCTGTGAGCTGGATTCTCATTGTTTTTACTCCAGATCTTCCATTTGCATCTCCATCGAAGCAAAAGCTAATTTTCTTCCTCTTCCTGTATCAATCCTGTCTGCTCTGTTGTTCAGGATTGCACCGTTTGAGATTCTGCCTCTTTTGCATAGAACTGCTAAGCGTTTACTTTCTTTAAAACCTTTTTCCCTGTCTTTCACATGCCATTGCACATATGGGGCATATCCTGTTCTCTTACCAGCTGGAACTGCGCTTGTTTTTAAGGTCTGAGCTCAGGCTTAAGTTCACCCATTGAGGAACAATCTCCAGTGATTCCTGAGTTGTATGCCAGCTCCAGAGTGTCCTTTGAAGCCTTTTCAAAGACTAGCAAAAAAAAAATCTCTGCAGGTTGTCTCTTTAACAAGTTATTTGTTTGTAACAATGTATTTATCTGCTTGTTTCTGGATTGGGGTGGAGGGGTGGCAGTTCCCCTGGGCAAATAACAACAGGGAAGGAGAAAAAAAGAACAACTGCCTACTGATCACCTTCCCCAGCCATCTTCTGAGGAGAAGGGAGAGGATTAAGTGATCCAGGCTCTTTTCTGAAGACTGTCTGCTCCCTGTCTTTCTTCAAGACTATAAATGACTAATACTTCAGAAATGCTTGCAGATGTTGTAGTTTTGGGGTCTCTGATAGCTCTTTGACCATCTCCCGAGAATTATTTTCTCTCAGCAAGCAAAGGAGACTTGTTTCAGGTCGTATATATTACACTTCAGTTTAAAAAACACTTTCAAGTAAAAACCCAGCAATGTATTTTTCCAAAGGAAAAGTCTTTCCTTAAACCTCTCCTAAAAGCTTCTAAAGATAAAAGGAAATTTCCCCAGAGCTGTTTCTGAAGCCTTGGCCTAGAGCAAGTTCACATTCTTCACTTGCAGACCCCCTAGAACTGAGCAGGGATGAACCAGTCTTTATTGTTTTTTGAATTATAAAATGGAAAATCACCTTAAAAAATTCAGCTAGAAGAATTGCTGATTCTCTTTAAAAGTTTATGAACAAAGTGTCCAACATACTGCAGTACAATTACGTAATGCTGCTTCATTTTAAGGTGCTTCTGAAGTAAAGGAAGTATTCTAGCATGTAAGCTGATAAATTCTGAATTTTTCTAAATGATTTTGTGAGTCTACAAAATGTAGACTCATAGATGGAGAATACAGTCTCATCTTTGGAAGGCTTTCTGTCACAACTCATAGGCATGGTGTTTGGAGGCAGTGCTATCAGCCCCTGAGGTACTTGTGACATTGTTTTTTCTTTACTACAGCAATTTGTGGTGACATGGACAAACTGACAAATAAGAAGCAATCTGAACAGCTGAGCTGGAGTCTTTCACATCCTTCAGCAACAGGTTTTGGAACAGATGTACTTCCTAATAGTGACTGGCTGCATGGCATTCAGAGTAGTAGTGGTCTTGCATTCTTTATCCCATCCAGAAGTGTCTGAGCTCCCTCCTGGGAGCACGCTGCAGCCTGGGCTAATGGTACCAGACCATTGTCATCCTCATCTATAGAGACGTAGGTGCTATATGAGCTGTGGCGTTCCTGATGCTACTTCTGAACACGCAAGCCAGAAAGCGAGGTTCAAGTCTGGATGCCATGTTCCTTGGGCTGCGGTTGATATGAGCTATTTGGAGAATATATGAATGAAGCAATCGTTGAGGTGGTGGATGTGAGGAAACAACCTCACTCCTTTTCCAGTCAGAGATTTTAGACAGTCAAGTTCAGGGACGTTCACTTGGAAATTGTAGGCACTGATGCAGCGTCAGGTCTGTGTATTGATGGACTGGTTACTGTTGCCACAGATGACGTGATCATCAGGCTCCATATCATAATCTTCAGCATTTTCATTGCATATGTCAAGTCTTGCCTGATAGTATCTTAGTATCTCTTAATGATCATAGGAAGAAGGGGTGGATGTTTTGGGGTTGGGTTTTTGTTTGTTTGTTGGTTTGCTTGCTGGGTTTTTTTCCCTAAATAGAATGGCATCAAAAAGGAAGCTTCTGAATTCTTGGCAGATTTCCTGTCTAAAACATGACAGGCATGGCTGATGGCTTTCCTGCCTCCAGAATCTCTAGATTTTGGTTGTTTATCAAACCTTTTGGAGACTGATTCACAGCAGTGCTTGGATGCAGGCAAAGAAATCCAGTGCTTTGAGCTGAACACTTCTGTGGCATTAGTGTGTTTTAGTCTTAGCTGTGGCCTTTTGGAGGACTTTGTCTGGATAAGGATTACACCACCTATCTCTGTTACGGTAAAGATGGAACTTTTGCTGATAAAACTGTTAAACAGATGTGACTGCAGCAGAGAAAAGTTGGTTCTTTTCCTTGCAGGATAAAAATGCTCTGTGTTTCATTTCAGCAGACTAGAAATTCTAAAATGATAGTTCTTGACTGTTAAAACTACCAGTATGAAGTTGAATCAAAACAATAGCTGAAATGAAATGTTCTTACTTGTTGAAATTGAGTGCTTTGATTTGTCAAAATGAAACAGAATGATTCACGTGACTTTTTCCTAATAAGCAGTTTGCCAAAACCAGCATGTGCCTGTGAAATGTTTGTTTTGATGAGAGATGCAACTTCCTTGGGAAGTTTTTCAGCCTGTTCTATTAAACAGCCCATTGCAGCAGCTTGCTGTCTGTCCTGGCTGTTGGGCCGTTCTTCCCCATTGCCCTGTGCAGGCACGCAAGCTGCTGCTGTTCCAAGTGCTAGTTTAGGTCATTGTCGTTCTTCACTACTTCGTCCTTAATTTGGTTGCAAGAGAATAATTAAAAAATGAGCTTCTCTATCTTGTCCTTGTAGTCTAGTTCATGAAGGGTTTGCCCCTTGTAGCCTGGTTTGTAGGGTTCGTGTCTTGCCTAGCCCTCCTGGATGCAGTGATGGTGCAAATAGTGATTTAGTGAAATAGCTTGCTTTCTCTTTAATGTTCTGAAAAACCTTACCCATTCAATTAAGGAAGCTTTCTTTGAAACAGGTCCTTTTTCAGAAGTGACAAGCATGTGGGGACAGCACACTTGAAACTGGAAAAGCTGGAATCAGAATGTGAAGTTAGAGAGATCATCGAGGTATGTTTTCTGGGTGAGGTGTGTTCTTCTAGTGAGTAGTATTTGAACACAAAGGGAAAATGAATATTCACATTGCATAAATGTATCTGGATACAGGTGACAAATTTTGTATTGGATGAGTTAATAAACAATGGGCTGTTCTTTGCTTTATCATCTCTTGAAGCTTGTCTTAGCTGTGACCATTCTGGGAACTTCTTGGGGACACTCTTCTGCAAATTATCTGTATCAACATAGTTTTTGTTGTCAGGACCAGAAATTCAGGTGATTCCCAAACACATTTGTGTTGGTAGCCAACAGATCAAAGGGTTCAGTGAAGACTGACAGAGAGCTGCCCTAAGATCCAGTAGATCATTAAATGGAACCTTAAAAAAAAATAATCCCTTGGCCTGCATCACAGCCACACTGAGCGTCCTCTGAGCTGCCCAAGGAGCCCATTTGCACGTGGGTGGCTTGGTGCGTGGCAGGCAGAGGTGGTGCAGCCGTTGGTACAGCTGCCTGGCGCTGGTCATGTGGGGGACCTGCTCTGCTGCATCACGAATCTGGGGAAGCAGATGGCTGTGACCCCTCCTGGCATTGCTGTCACTTGCAGGTGATCTGTCAGTCGTGGGGAAGTCAAGTCAGTGGTTACCTTAGGCGCTATGGCTTGACATCATCACTCTTGTGTGTGCTCACTGCCTTTCTTTTTTGCGGCTTTTTCAGATTTTTGATGGCAGAAAGCCCACTGGAGGGAAACTGGAGGTGAAAGCGAGACTCAGGGAGCCCCTCAGTGGTCAAGATCTTCAAACAGTTACAGAAAACTGGCTGGTCCTTGAACACTAGTTCCTATCAGAGGTATGAATACTGCATCTAAAGATGGTCTGGCCAGAACTTGACAGGGCGACAGATAAACTCTGCCTGAATAATGTCTTTTGTTGACATTGACCTAATTACATAGCTCTGGCTTTGATAGCATTCATCTTTACATTTGTAGTGGTGAGTTGACTTAATTTCAGAAATGAGGTTACAGAATCTCTGATTAGTTTGTGTATCAAAGATGCTATTTCACAATCACCTGAAATACAGGGAGAGCTTGTAGCATCACCGTTATTTAGAAGATTATTTAGAAAATAAGACTGACGAATCCTTTCTCAGAGGGAGGGTGCTTTCTGTCCATCCTTATTGTTAGCAAAAAAACCTCTCAGACTTAGCAAGGACCCTTCCCCTACCAGCAGCTAGAGAAGGGCATTCGTTTGTCCCACAAAATTCTATGTGACTGCATCTGAAAGGGAAACTATGAGAAACAGGCTTTCTTCTGGGTACTTGAGTCTTCTGGGCAGGGAGAAACAGCACAGTGGAATGCAGGCTACCTGAAGGAACTGTGCCTGGTGCCCGCTGTGCTCGTATCAAGTACAGAGGTGGAGCTGTGTGCTGCCAAAGTGGCTGTATGTTAGGAAGATGAAGAAGAGGGAGGCTTCCCCTTCTTGCCAGCTTCTATGGAAACTGGTTTTGGAGCTTGCCTTCCTTTCTCAGGCTCTGCTTTTTAGATATCATAAATTCTTTCTTCTTAAGAAAAACAAAAGCAAATAAATACCAAAAATTCTGGTATCTTTTTTTTTTTTAAAGTGATTTTTCTACACAGCTCATGTTCGTAAAACCCAGGAGAGGGCTCTGATTCGCTAGGGACAGTCAGTTCTCCCTTGGGCGTAGATTGCCCGCAGGCACAGGGCGTTATCGGCAGGGTTATGACCGCGCTGATCCCTGCTGAGCAGGTATTTACAGTACCGCGATAGCGCCGACAGCCCTCCTCTTGGACCATGACCTTGCTGGTACAAGCATGGAACAAACCTCACCTTTTCTGATGGAAACCAGATGATGTATAAACGTAGCATTTCTAATAAGTAATCCCTCCTCCTTTGCTTGAACTCCTGGAGTCTCTGTGCTCCCTCTTACTTAGTATATCGTTTTGCTTTGCATTTATAAATGGGCGTTAAGGTAAAACTTACCAGCTTCCAGCAACAATGCCCGTTTGCCACACCTTTGCTTCCAAATTGTGTTAGGTTGTACAGATTGAGAGGTTGTTTCAATACACAAGTCTGAATTTGTAGCACCAAAGGGACTGTTTGTCTAGTGATTCCTTCCTTGCAGCCAAAGAGGTCAGCGAGCTGCCTGCAGCGTCACAGCTGGGCTGTGAGGGACACCTTTGGCTGTATCCAAAGTAACAACTTGGCCTTGTGCCGTGACTGCACACCTACACGTTTTCAATCACTAAAGCTTAATAATTTTTCTCGTTGACCATCCAGAAAATTCACATCAGCATTTTACATATAACGTGACCTTGAATTGTGAACATCTGTTAAGTACTACAGCAAGTGATTTTGGTTTTTGTTGTTTTTTTTTTCCCCAGATTCATTGGAATGTTGGATGACTGTATGTAGAAAGATGCTGCTAGCTGCAAGCACCAAAGATGTTAAATGAATGCACTACTGAACCTAATGTCTATTTTGATAACAGCCATAGTGCTTATTAATAACTTTAAGGCAAATGTCAGGCTCTGGAAATTTGCTGCAGGTCTTTGTTACCGGTCTACACAAAATAGACAGAATTGCCTTAACGTGGGACTACTCATGTAGCACCAGGGTGAATGTTACATTAACTATGCATAGCGGTGTGTGGAAAGTTTAGCCCCTTACAAACTCCCTGAGGTAGTGCAAAAACTTCTCAGTCAAGTCACAGGTAAGACCTTTACTAGAATTCATTCCTTCACGTGTACAAGCAGCCAACAGGGCACAATGAACAGTCTGCCGCTGCTGTGTCTGTTCTCTCTTACCAAGGCCTGTTTGGTTTGGGGTTTTTGTTTCCTAAAATAAGAGGAGAGAGAACTCGGGCAGCAATCTAGCAGCAGCATGTCCCTTCTGCATGCCGCTGCCACACGAAGTTACACGGGATGTGGCCTTTCCAAAGGAAAGAATGCAGGATGTCGCAGCGGCAGGTGGTTACAGATCTACATTGTCGTTCTGGCTACGAGTGGTCTGCCATGCTTGCCACACTGCGTGTTTAGTGTGGCCTGGGGACTGTGCCTTCATCCTTTTTTTCTTTTTTAATTTAAAAAAGTACACTAGGCTGCTGCTTCCCTTATATTTTTACAAAGATAGGCTTTTACAGTTCTTCCAGGTGATGGGGAAAACAGCCACTCTTTGTCATGTAGAAATCTGGATTTAAGACTATTTTCAGGAATGTTTTTGATCAGCAGTGTACAAAAAATGGTACCAAATCTGTTTGTGTTTTTAAACCTCTGTGAGCTAAGAGAAACGACTGGTCGCAAAGGAGAAGATGTGCCTGCACTGGGGCGTCGGAGCCCTGCACCAGCTCTCGAGGTAGGGCGAAGCTGTAGTCAGAGAAGAGTCCGGACAAGTATGGCAGTGCTGCCTCTGTCTTCCTGAGCAGATGAAGACAATACAGTGTTTAGTTTTTAATTTCAATAAATTTAATATACAAAACTACATGTTGAAAATAAAAATATAATATGCAGTTTTTTGCAGTGTTAACTAACTGAATTTTAAAAGTACAATTTTTTTTTCTAAAACAAGTACTCATTTCTTAACAACATGGTAATTAAGGTCATTTAAAAGGCTATGGTTGAAGCAAACATGTCAGTCACCAGTTGATAGTGTTTTGCACAAACATAATCCAAACCTAAAAGACTTTTGGGGCAAAGGAAGAGAAGATAAAGATTTTTTCACCTCTTTTACTGCATTATTAAGCATAACAATGCAACTAAGGTACTGGGAAAGCCGCTGCTGTGGCAAAGCTGGAGTGCAGGCTCTAGAAGGAAGATTTTTACTTAGTTTATGGAATAGATACTGAATCTTGCTGACACCACATAGTGCTGCGCTGTGTCCCAAAGTGTGCAAAAACAGCCTGCAGAGGGGAGTCTGAAAGTAACCTGAGTCCTGCTCCACTGCACAAATCCATAGGAAGGCTAGCGATTGTGTAACAGCTTCAGGTCTGTCCCTCGTGAACCATGACGTAAGCCACATTAAGCCAGGCGCCTTTTCCCAACTGCCAGAGGTAAGATTTCACTTTGATGTAACATTTCTAACTGCAGGAGTGTGCTACCTCTTGCTGGCAAGCTTTATTTTCTGGAGTTGGACCCCAGGTCTCTGGCCTGCCTTCTCCAAGTGTTGGGTGGCAACCGCTGTGATTTGCAATATGGGATTTGTCAGAGTTTGCTTTTTTTTTTTTTTAAAAAGCAGTAGCCATTTATTCACAAATGCAGTCTGTACATAAGCTGTGCTGTCTTTACATAAAATACATTGCTACGTGTACAGCTACCTTTTCCTTTGCCCAGCTAATGCTGTATATTTGTTTAAAAAACACAGCGGTCTCACAGTAGCCTCGCACTTCCCTTCACATTTGAAAGGATCCCAATGCTACTCACATAAAGACAAAATAATCTCCACTGCGTCCACCAGAACCGACTGTGAGTAGGGGCTGTGCAAGGTCTGAGATACTGGGTTCACCGTAACTTAGCCCCTCTCTGCCTCAGTCAATTTTCTGTGTAGACAGGAGGAGAAACCTTCTCCCTCCTCCTGGGAGGGACTCAGACCAGCTGCTGTGCCTGGCTACAGCTGAACAAACCAAACCCTTCTCCTGCTTTCAGCTCTTTCACTGGTTAGCAGCTTTCCATGGAGACAGTAAGAATGTGGAACCCCCTTTCCTCTGGCTGAGTCTCAATTCCAGCTTCACAAAGTCATGGCAGAGGCCAGCAGCTGCTTTCCTTCCTAAAGCCCTCTCAGGTGAGACCGAGAGCGCTGGGCCAAGCGCAAGTGTTCAGAGCTGACCAGAAAGCCTTTTTCAGCAGAACATGCAAGAACAGCCACTCTATACTTGTATCACAGGTAAGCTTTTACATGGCGCTGCTAATACGAAGTGCAAGCTGTCTTGTAGTACGTGACACTAGCGTTACACTACAGCATACAGCAAGGAGGAGACTTAAAGCTGCCCTGGGTGTTACTTTTCTTTAAAAAGCAGGACCTACTGGGGAAGAGGAATGAGCTATAACTGCACTTTAGGGCTAACGTTTTCTCTGCTTCATACAGATTTGTAAACAAAGTACAGAATAGCAGAGTTGTTCTAGGAGATTATAGAAATCTGCCAAGGTGACGGGTTTTATAGTAAATAGAGGAAAAAAGTAAACTAGCCTATTACACACACAAAACTGCAGTTTACATAATACCGCCTTCAGAGAGAGATGCCTGCCCTTCTGCTCACTTAGATGCATGTACAAGTGTTGGTATGGCTAAGTCATCTTTCCGTATCTCTCAAGGGCTACTCCAAACGTATTTCAACCAATAATCTGGTCAAAATAATGTAAACGTTACTTTTTAATGTCTACAGAATAACCACAAACGGCATTATGATGAGGTCAGAATGGAGGTCTTGATTGTTGTTTCTTACGTGTCCATCTACAAACAGTACAAGATTGGAGTTTCACTTTTTATTTACGCCCCAGTGATCTTTGCACCCGTTTGAGCATTTAGAGTACATGACTGTAAGTCTTTAAACATGAGCATTTTTCTAAACAGTAACAGAAGTGTATTAGCTGCAAGGATAGCATAGCCATGTTGTAGTATAGAAGCTGCCCTGATCCTCTGTTTGTTGACAATGCATAGAAGATTTAGAATTATGGAACAACTGTCCCTCCCTCCTCCCCCCCCCTCCCCCAATAGTGTTAACAAAAGCTTAATTTTCCAGTTTTAAAGTGCAAATGATTCAGATACAACTGCTGCTGGAACAGGTCTGAACAGAAAATGAAGTCCTCTTATGAGATGTTTTCCAGAATATAAAAGATGAGCTCCATTATGACTGGCCCCTCACTCAACTGACACGCCCCTCCATGAATCACTGGAACTAAGGCACTGTCCAGGTCATTCATGTACTGAGAGGGCAGTGGCTGTCCATTACTCCCAGCTTGATAACCAACCTAAAAAATACAAAGTAAGAGTGGGTTTTACACAGAATAGGACACAAGGAGGACGAGCTGTGGGAGGGGCTGCAGCTTCTGCCTGGGGCAGTCAGGCCCTTGAGCAGCACACAGCAGGCTCTGAAGTGGCTTTTCCACTTGGTTTTGTTCTTCTCTAGGTTCCCAGTGGCTGCCTAGACAGAAGTAGCCTCTTTTTTCTCTACTGCTTTGTCAAAGCACACCGTTCAGAGCAGCAGGAACCGCACCCTGCGTTATCAGATTAAGTCATGCAGTATTTAAAAGCTGGTTGGTACTAAGAATGCATCCAGTCCAAGGCAAGGCCAGCTGTCTTGCCAGGACCCCCTTATCTCTGCTTCTAGCTTTTGCTGTAGAGCACTCGAGGGGACCTGCCAGCTGTTTCTCTGCCTTGCTCGCAGCGTGATCTTTTCCAAACAGCCGTGCTGTGAACAACGGTGTACGCTCGCCCAAGAGTACGTTTAATACACTCCTGTCTCAGTTCTGGTGAAAAGGGCAATTCAGTGTCCTCTGAGCAGGCGGCAGGCCCGCACCGCATGGGGCTGCTCGCTGGTCGCTGACCGTAGCCCTGGGGCTGCCAGTGCCATACGGGGGTCAGGCCTGGTGTTAATTCCGGCTAGGCTCTAGCTTTCCAATTTTAACAGGTGGCCTAAACCACTGACCAACAGTCAGCACCACTCGATTAACATCTGATGCTGGTACGTCTTCAACGGAATGGTCGAAGTGGTGTATTCCCTTTTAGGGGAACAAGCAAGGGAACAACACCCCACCCCAATTAAACCAAAACTAGCCAAGACTTACTTGATCTGAGTCAAGTGTAACACGCAGCCCTAGCTTAGTCATTCCATCTTCTTTCAACAACTTAAGATGAGGACAGAGAGCTAAGCAGAAAGCCTTTGCCACGTTTTCAGTCAATCTGCTGTGATCGGCTGGGTCGCTCAGACTGTTATGTTGCTCATCATTTTCCAGGAAAAACACCTGAAGAGTTAACACAAGACATACATAATGCTTGGCTTTTCTAGAAAATAAGGTTAATAACATGCAATTAAAATGTTTTACAAATGAAGATTTAAAGAAGAGCTGCTAAGGGAAGACCAACAAAAGACCCTGAAGACAAACCACCTTGGGGGGGTGGGTAAAAACTTCAAAAGAAAGCTTTAAATAGTCATCTTCTCAAAAAACTTTCAGTTCTGGTCAAAAGCCTCATGGAAAGTCACTATGTATTACACATAGTTTTTAATTTAAAAAAAAAGCTTTTAAATAGATGTTAATTTCAGAAAAATTCCCATTTTTAGTAGAAGCCTGAACATTTCTATTATTATTACTGCAACTGAACTTGTCTCTGTTAAGCCCAACTGACCCAGGGTAAAAAGGATACTAAGGTGGAAGCTGCAGAGTGAGTAACTTGGTTCCTCCTGGACAGGTTAAGTGAAATACTTCAAGAAATTTTTTAACACCAGCATTTGTGTGCTGGCAGAGTCACAGCTAACAGCAACGATGCAAGCGGTTTCTTAACGGAGCAGATACTGCAAGTGATTTATGCCACAGCACTTTGATTTAATTGCAACATTTTAGAGAAGGTGGCTCAAAATAACATTTTTTTTTTTTTAAAAATAATTACTAAGATCTGGCTCCATTTCAAAAGGTAGTTTTTTTTAACACAAATGCAGCTGAAACCCACTGTTACCTTGGGTAACACAGTAAGTGAGTATTTTTCTGGTTTCCCCATGTTCAACAGCCATACGTGCGGAGCAGTGGTGTAGAGGCTGGCTGTGAGAGCAACCCGAGCTGCACATCACTGATGGCATGGTTTATTCTACACCGTCCCATACTGAATCTTTCCTTCCAGGTAGGAAAGGATACAGGTGTGTTGTGAAGAATTTGCTGCTTTAGTTTTGGTGAGGAGGGAGAGCAGGTCAAAAGAAGAGGAGGCTGTGGTTGCAATCCCCAAATGCCACGTGTTGGTTTACGTGCAGCTCAATTTGACTGACTTACCTCTGTCCACCGAATGACCTTTCCGTTTGCCTTGTACTCTGAGCCATGAAATATCTTCACACTTGTTATAGACTCCATTGATTTGCCATCAATAGGGCTTGCAACACTGAAAGGGAGGGAAAAGGGTAAGATCCGACTTAGCAGAAGATGAGCTGAACAGTGCAAGAGACCTACGTTGGGATCAAAGGGCGACTCCTCTGCTACACCTCAGTCTTCCAACTGCCTCGCTGCAGGTTTTTTTTTTTTTCCCCATAACTGAGCATTCTGCAATTTGAACTGCAACTTACCACATCAGCTTACCAGGGCATAGACGAAAATTAGCCTCAGAAGGGAACCCAAACGCCTCTCTCTGGGTGCAAACCCAGTGATCTTGAATGCAACTGCTAATTGTGACGAGGTGCTGGGCCTGGGGCTTCACTGTGAGCAGCCTTTCTGGAATGGGCTTCCTACCAGGCTGAGCACGAGGGCAGAGCTGAGAGGCAGCGCGCTCCCTGCTGTCCCCTGCAGCTCCTACCTGCCACCCGCCCAGGTCAATACGCGTAAGCCAGGTGCAGGAAGGACCTTCCTGAAGGTTTTCAGCAAAGCTGTGCACCAGAGCTGAGCGCTCATAACGTGCTAACACAGCAATGAGGTGTTTCATACAGACTGGATTTTTTTTTTTATTCATTTGTAACCTTAGTGCAGGCCAGCAATACCTGAAATGCTACTTAGCCCAGAATTTAATTATAGAACCTAAGACTGACACAGCGATCCTGAAACTACAGAAATATCCTTCTTTCTAGATGTTGAGTCCTTAAACATTGTACCCATCACAACAGCACTTTACTGCCATAAATACTTAAGCTGCCAAATAGACCTCTCTTTTGGCTTAAGTATCAACAGTCCAAATATACTGTTAATGTTCAGCACTTTTATTTCCAGCACTACTTAATGCAAACTAAGCACCAAGAGGGTAAAGTGACCACAATATGCAGGGTTCAGCACTGAGTGTTGGAGACAGATTAGTGGTTTCCAATAACTGGATATTAGCAATGGCAAAGAATCCATAGCATTGACAGCTTTCTAAATTGATGCCCAAAAGCTCTGGTATCTCAATTCCATTTTCATTACATTTAATTGCATCTTATCACTCAGAATAGAGGCCCAGACTTGTAATTCCTATTGATTTGAAGACTCATGCACCTTATAAGATCAATTAAAATTTTTAACAAATGCAGGCTAACAGTCACCACTCAATGTCAAGTGATTGCTCCTCTACTTACCCCTTACTAAAGTTTTTATCATCTTCTACCCACTGAATATGAACGTGTTCCTGAGGATCTTCAGCATCTACTTTGCCACAAGTGATGGTGAAGTCTTTCATCTCCCTCAAGGCCTGCCTCAAAGAGTCCATGTTCTCGGCAGTTATCTGGACCATGACTCCATCTAGGGAACCAAGAAATCCTCATAAGCCAAGGTAAGCCACAGTGAACAGAGCCCATATTAAAAAAAAAAAGAAACATCCTCTTTTTGCAAACAGAAAGGTTAAACATCTATTTTTTAAGAGTCATAGGCAGCAACGCTACATAAGACCATTTCTGAGTGCTCAGATTCCTAAAAACATAGCATTGATGAGCATTGACCAGGGAAAACACAAGGATAATGTGAAGTCCATCTACCGGGTAAAAAGTCAGCTACAGCAATGGCTGCATTAGTTTGCCTCAACACTTGACACCTGCTCTAGGCAAACCCTCAGAAACCCTGTGTGACTCCCTCCATTCCGTTATCACCCCTGCTGGCACTGGAAGCAGCACTCCAGCGGCTACAAGAGTTTTTGGGAAGTCAATGCTTGCCTGACAGTGGGAAAAGGTACAGAGTTTGGATGGGATCAGTTTAAATTACTGCAGAAATAACTTAGGAATGATACACTTCCCCAGTGTACAGACTCCTTGCCTGAATCCATCTGTACCTCTGTCTTGCACTAAACCACCAATTTGACACAGAAAATGGTATAATGACCTACTTATCCTGATTTACCGTCAGATGGCTGCTTTTCAGCCCTGGCTGACCACTCACCCATGGACTGCATGCTCATACAGCTGCAAGCTCTCAAGTTGGCGCAGCTTAACGAGTTCCTGCTCATCAGCAGAGCTGTGCTAACTAATTGCACGTTTAGGCTTCTTGCATACCTCACTCACAGACCGTAAGGAGCACACTTAAAACACTAGTGTCTGCACTGTCACATCTGCGGTGAGGTTAGACTACAAAGTTCTGTAGCTCAGCTAACAAGCAATAATGGCTTTCAATCCAGTGCACACAGTTGGCATTTATTTCTGTGATACAACAATTGGTAACAGAAGAACGAACCAACTCAAAGAGGTACCAGCTCAACAATCTCAACTTTTCACGTTCTCATCTGCCCACATAAAAGCATATAAACGATGCACATTCATAATCTTGCATAACGCAGAGCTATTTGGGAAGAGAGTGAGTTTAGCAGGGCTTCCTCTCCTGGTTGGTGGATTAGACATGCCATATTTCCTACGCTCACAATTTCCTCATTCAACCCAAACCAGTAAACTGATCACAGGCTCACAAGTCAGTAATTTCATATCTTACTCTCATTTCCCTGTGTCCCTGTTCTACAGCATCTAGACAAGTTCCTTCTCATTAAAGGAAACAGGGGTGGGGGTTTTTTTGGCTAAAAAGTAGGATAAAGCTGAAGCAGCAGCATGATTCAAATGCCCAAGGCACAACAGCAGAGCCCTGATAACTACAGACCTGAGCCACATTAAGAGGGAAGCAGTGTGTTTTACGCAAGCAGTTCAGTTCTTACCTTCTACTATACTGGATTTGGCAAGGTAGCCCGAAGAGGATTTTAAAGCTCCACTGAACACAAAGAAGCTGGCACCAGTCACTGCAACAACAACAGGGGTGATTTAGTGAGGCTTTCGTCAACACAATGCCTTACACAAGAATCAGGTATCACAGCTCTATCACCCAGAGAGGTGATTAATCTAAATCAGGACAAATGCTGCTTAGAATTATGGTGGCTTTAATGCACATCATAGGCTTGGATATGGATGGGCAAATGACCCAGTTATTTTCTAAACTGGACAACAGTTTTTGTCAACCTTAAATGCTCATATTTCGTCACTCTCCTTCTCCCCATACACACATCTAAGTTTCAGGACTACTAATTTAGGGTAACCAAGTACATAATTTATTTCTAACTGTTCCCACACAGCTGGCAAAGATTGTGAGCGAGCTGTTAATGGATCACGCTAACACCAACCCACTGGCAAGGACACAGCTCAAAGCCACCTGATTTAAAGTTCTCTTAAAT